CCCGCCCCCCCCGCCACGTCCCCGCTCTCGGCCCGCGCACGGCGTGGCTGCCACCGACCTCTCGGAACCCAGTGCGATGTGGGCTCCCGGCTTCGGACCCGCGCGGATTCCCCAGCGCCGGCGCCCGGGGCCGCTGTCGTCCTCCGTTTGGCTGCTGCTGCTGTTCCTGCTGGCGGCCGTGGGGCCGGTGCGCGCCTGGGAGAGCGGAGACCTGGAGTTGTTCGACTTGGTGGAAGAGGTGCAGCTCAACTTCTACGAGTTCCTCGGGGTGCAGCAGGTAAGCGCGCCGGCCGCGGCGGGCCGGACCTCGTCGCTCAGCCCGGTCGGTCCACTTGACCGCCAGCCCTTTCCCGGTCCCTCACCCTCGCGCCAACTTCGGAACTTCTGGTCTAAGTGCCAGACTGGATGGTGCCACTATCCTGGAGGTGCTGATACCTTTTCTTTGGCCTTCTGGAGACCATCCTTTCCCCACCCCCAAAAGCTGTGCTGGAGGAAGAAGGAAGAGAGGTGTGGGTAGACCATTTTTACGCTTACCCACTCTCAAGTGTGACACAGTAACTATGTGTCACCCCAAATTGTCATCTTCCCACTTAACACATATTTTTACTTCATCTGCCTTCCTCCCTCGTCCTTTCTGGGAAGAAAGAAGTACGTTTTGCCCAGCGTCTCTTGGCAGTTTTCTTGCACTGTATTTCGTAATCGTTAAAGCCTCCTCTCCTTCTCATGGGCTTGAGGTATTGTTGGAAGAGGATCCGAGGATAGTCTGTGTATATGTCTTTGCCTCTATTCCTTTCCTTCCTGGTTTTAGCTTGGATCTTTTAACTTGCGATTGAGTGAGGGTATTTATCCAGTATCTATCTGAAACAGTGAACAGAAAAAGTAGACATGTCACTGACTTCACAATTATGGAATGAAAGAATTTCCCAAGGTCTGATTAAGTCCTTCACACAATACATAAGTTGTAGAGCTTTTTCAACAAGAAAGACACGCTTAACAACATTAGCTAGGGAATGTACCTCTTCCTATGGGTTATGAGATAGTAAACTTTCAAAGGAGATTAAAATGAACTATTAAATAGAATTTTGTTTTTAGAGACAGGGTTTCTTGCGTAGCTTTTCCTATCCTGGAACTCACTTTGTAAACCAGGCTGGGCTCAAACTCACAGAGATCCTCCTGCCTCTGCCTCCTGAGTGCTGGGATTAAAGGCTTGTGCCACCACACCTGGTTTGAAATTTAACTTTCAATCATTGCATTTTAATGCCATGATTGCTTATAAAATTACTGAGTATAAAATTGCCCGGAACTGAACTTTACAGTTCTAATTTTGTAAGAGTTAAGAATATTTTACATCTCAAATTGTTAAATACAAGTGGTTTTGTGGTAACTGTAAAGTGTTACCTGGTGCCACTTCCTGTTCACAGAGAAAAAAAACTATGCCTCATTTCCAAAGTAAATGATAATGCAGTGTATGTAACAGTAATTAATGAAAATGTAAGTTTGAAGACTAAGTTTTTGTGTTTAGTTTTTGTTTGTTTGTTTTTGGTTTTTGAAGTGTTTCTTTGTGTAGCTTTGCAGCCTATCCTGGTACTGGCTCCATAGATCAGGCTGGCCTCGAACTCACAGAGATCCTCCTGCCTCTGCCTCCCACGTGCTAGGATTTATGGCATATGCCATGAACGCCCTGCTTAGTTTTGTGTTTTGTTTTTCCAGACAGCATTTCTCAGTGTAGCCCTGGCTGTCTTGGAACTCAGAGAACCTCTAAAGGCGAGTGTCACTACCACCTGCCTGGGTTTGGGTTTTTTTGTTTGTTTGTTTGTTTGTTTGTTTTTTCGAGACAGGGTTTCTCTGTGTAGCTTTGGAGGCTGTCCTGGCACTCGCTCTGGAGACCAGGCTGGCCTCGAACTCACAGAGATCCGCCTGCCTCTGCCTCCCGAGTGCTGGGATTAAAGGTGTGTGCCACCAACGCCCGGCTAGGGTTTGGGTTTTTTTGAGACAGGGTCTTACTATATAGCTCAGGCTATTCTCTAAACCTTTATTCTCCAGCCTCAGGCTCCTCCTGGGTGTTGAGATTACAGGCTTTTTCTATTATATCATGCCAGAAGATTCATTTTACTTTGTATTTTTTTTAATTGGATTAGGTAGAACTAGAAATAATTCCTTTTATAAATTTTACATTTTATTTTATTTTATTTAAGTTAGTCCCTCACCACCATCCCCAAGGTTTCTCACTGTGCCTCACTGGCTTACCTGGTACTTACTAGGTAGACTGGGCTAACCTCAAAGTCACAGATCTCCATCCACCCACGTCAAGGACTACTGGAATTGAAGGCATGTGCCACTACATCTGGCCTAGTCCCTTCCATTTTGGTGTGTGTATCTACCTCTGTCAGTATGCTTACACATTTTTTTTTTTTTTTTTAGTCTCATATCACAATGCTGTTCTAGTTTTTTTGTTTTGTTTTTTAATGTTTGAGTGTTTTGCCTGTATGTATGTCTGTGCACTACATTTGTGTCTGGTACCCACAGAGGCCAGAATAGGCCATCTAGTCCCTTGGGACTGGAATTACAGACAGTTGTGAGATGCCATGTGGCTGTTGGGAGTCAAACCTTTGAAAGAGCAGCCAGTGCTCTTAACCATTGAGCCATCTCTCCAACACCAGGAGTATTTTTTATTTTTAATTCATCTATCTATCTATCTATCTATCTATCTATCTATCTATCTATCTATCTATCTATCTATGCATGCCATGGAAAATGTGGAGGTCAGAGGATAGCTCTTGGGAGTTGGTGTTCTCTTTCCATGAGGGTCCCAGGGATTAAATTTAGTCAAGCTTGGCAGCAGATACCCAAATACTGAGCCATCTTGCTTGCTTATGACTCACTTTAATATTGAGAATACTTGTTTAGTATTCATTAAAATTGGTTAAATTCTGTAGCTAGTGAGATTATTATATATAACTGTGCTGGCTAGTATTTTGTCAACTTGATACAAGCTAGAATCATCTGTGAAGAGGGAATCTCAGTTGAGAAAATGCCTGGATTAGATTGGTCTGTAGGCAAGTGTAGGGGAAGCTGTAGCCATGCCTGCTTTGGGGCTGGCTAAAGGTGTGCCTGACCACGCCTGTGAGCGCATGTTCAAGGTGACGTAGAGTGAGAGTTGGTCAGGTGGCTGGTTTCTGGTTTCTGTGTCACTTTCGCCTTGCTGTACAGACTGCTGCCCACCAGCTGGCTAGGTCGCTCTGTAAGTAAGGGTTTTCCCTATTAAAATCCCTTGTATATCTACCTGGCTCCGTATTGGTAATTTCCCGAAATATCTGGTGTCAGGAGTTAACTAATGATTGATGTGGGAGGACCCAGCCCACTGTGTGTGGTGCCACTCCTGGGCAGGTGGTCCTAAGTTATATGTTATAAGCAAGGTGAGCAAGCCAGTAAGCAGCATGCCTGCATGGTCTCTGCTTCAGTTCCTGCCTTGACTTTTTTCAAAGATGGACTGTGACTTGGAAAATATAAGCCAAAAACTCTTTTTCTTTCTTAAGTTTATTTTGTCAGGGTTTTGTCATAGCAATAGAAGCAAGGTAAGACAACAACCAATAAAGAAAATCTTGACAATGCTTTTGAATTGTTGGTAGAAATTAAGCTTCTTTAAGAGAATACAAAAGCTGGGCAGTGATGATACGCACCTTTAATCCCCTCACTCTGGAGGCAGAGGCAGGCAAATATCTGAGCTTGAGGTCAGCCTGATCTACAAAGCCAGTTCCAGGACAGCCAGAGCTGTTACACAGAGAAACCCTGTCTGGAACCCCCCTCCCTCCAAAAAAGAAGCAAAGCAAAGCAAAGCAAAGCAAAGCACACACACACACACACACACACACACACACACACACACACACAGAGAGAGAGAAAGAGAGAGAGAGAGAGAGAGAACCCAGAGACTTAGGAGAAGTGATTTCAAATTTAGATTATCTATTGGCCAGAGAGACAGCTCAGCAGCTAGGAGCACTTGCTGTTCTTATAGAGAAATGGAGTTCAGTTTCTAGTACCTGTGTTTTTCAGCTCCCAACTGCCCAAAATTCAGTTGTAGGAGATCTGACACCCTGTTTTGGCCTCTGAGGGTACTGTACTCACATGTACAAATCCATACACATATACACATACTTTCAAAAGATTAAATTATCTAATATAGCCTTATCTGTGCACAATTGTGGTTTGTAATTTCATGCTATTTAATTTGCAGTAAATTAGCCGGTATGAACAACTAGAGACCTTAATTTTGTAAGGAAAGATGGGGAAATATGAATAGATAATTGAGAAGATTTTGTAAAATTTGATAATAATCCAGAAAATTATTTTAATTTTTATTTATGTGTTTAGCTGTATTGAAACAGGAAAGAAAGCCAGAAAGAGATTTATTATTTTTTTTGACACATAAAAATAGATTGGAAAGTTCTTTGAATCTTAGCTTTCGAAGACTTTCAAGGGACCAGATAGTTGGTGGAGATAAACTCAACCTGTTTAAAGTTCAATGTGTGATAGTCAAGCTATAGCCAAACAGTCTTTTGTTGACTCATAGCTGTTGGGAACAGAACAGTAGAAAGACTACCCAATGTTGTTCATTCAGTGGAGACTTATTTGGAGTTTACTGGATCTTAAGCATAAAACCTTTAGCCTCATTTAGCTTAATAGATTAATGGGGATGAGGACACAAGTAGTGAAAAGTAGCAGATGGTCAGAGGTTTCTGAAGGAAGTTATAAGTTATAAGGCATTAATTCCATCTTTATAATTTATTAATAAGTCTTTATAATTTGTTAATTCTATCATTATAACCTATCAATTGTTAGATGTACTCACTCTTAGTTGCCACTGTGGGTATTGGATTTTAATGTACTAATTTGGAAGAACTCAAGCATTCAGATTATAGCATGATGGAGAAGCATTCAGATTATAGCATGATGGAGGAGCATTCAGCATGGTGGATAAGCAGTCAAGAAAGAGAATAAGTGCACAGGCCTTCCTTGTTAGTGTTCAGGCATCTGTACTGGTCTTGTCCTTGGGGTTCTGACAGTATATGCCCTCAGCTGTAGCCACTAAGAGTACCACCTGTGCATATTCACTGTGTTCCCTTTTAAAAGGGCCCTGCCCACCTCCCATCCAGCCCTTTTTTTTAAAAATGAAGATGCTTTTCATAGTTGACTGGTGAATCTGCATTGTAGTTCTCAGCTATATCTAATTATTTGTATTGTGAGATCCATTGCACTTGTGATGCTAGTGTGTAGTTC